GCAAACAACAGCAAACAAGAACTCAGGACACAGGAGTCCGACCGAAATAGACGTGGCAAACAACAGCAAACAAGAACCCAGGAGCAGGGTAAAATCCAAATGCTTGGCCGATTTTGTTCTTGGTGCAGAATCCTTGGCCGATTTGTTGTTCTTGGTGCACTTCTGCTTAAGCCTCTCATTGTGATCTGGACCTAGCCATTGCATGGCTATGCGTTGCAAAATAACCAAGAACTACAACTCATGATCGCGAAACTGTTCTGGATGTTGACAGTTCGGACGGATCGCGGGTTCATTAATAAGCTCTGAAAGCAGATTTCTGGTCCATGATGCAACTATACATATGCCCTAGAATTCTGAAGTTGGAGTTTCCATGACCATCCTCATCGTCACCACCATCATCATCACCATCATCTTCATCAATAATCATCATCCATATTCACCATCGAAGATCATCAAGCATCATCATCAACATGAGTATCACCATCATCGACATGGTCATCATGTGGCTTATAGGCCCCGCCTCTGCCAACAGATTCTCTCTCGACGGCTGTCCGACAGGGCGCGAAGCTGTCTTCAGGAAAGCGCCTTGAGGATGCTCTGAACGGTGAGCTCTGTCCCGGTAACGTGGTGGCTTATTCCCTCTTGCTGTATCAGGAAATGCCTAGAATTGAGAGACCTGCCCACCTTTGGCCATGTGGGGTTGTGCAAGCCACGCAGCGGATTTTGTCAAGTTAGGTTTTCCAGTGTTAGGATGGACCAAAAGCTGTCAATGATCAATGATGCTTCTGCATCCCTAAACCCACTAACCTAGCCACAATAATCCTACTTCCCAACAGGGCCAAGCCCTCCCCTGAACCCCTGGATCCGACAAGTCGTGCATAGTTTAAACACTTGTGTGACGGTAACACAAAAAAAGCTTCGATGCACGGCAGCGCCTAAGACAGGTGACAAAGACAGATTCCAAAAAGAAGGGCTTGGGGCAGTGTATACTTGGGATTGTTTTATTTCTGCCACATCACCCCACCCCCGCCCGCAAACATGGGACATTTGAGCCACCCGGTAACCTACCCGGACCAACCCTGAAAGAACCAGGCCATCAATCTTAGAATCGGTGCATCGCCAACAAGAGCTTGATCCCACGCCTCAGCCGTGGGTGCTAAAGCTCGAATCCCAAACCACCCCAAATTCGAAAAATCCTGAAACCTACCAGCACCAAGCCCATAAATTTCCCAGCCCCCCCGTGGCCAGCATTAAACAACACATCGAAAGCCTCAAAGTCCTGAACTCTTAAATGCTCGTAGCCCCGAAAAAACTGTGAGGCCCACACGCTCGAAGCTCCCAAACTTCCAAACCGTAACCAACGCTACCCGGTACTCCCGCCTCAAGAACCAGCAAGAGCGTTAAGTTTTCCCACAAGCCTTCTGCAACAGCCCACAGTGTAAACAAGGCTTCAACGGAGCTTGAACGCTTCAGAGGGCTCCGTGATTGAAACAACCTTTTGTGCACAAGGCTGACAATGCTCAAAATGGGAGTTTCCGAAAAGAAGGGGTACCTTATTTTGGGGTCCCCATAACAAGGACCCTATTATTTGGGGTACTATATTTGGGTCCCCTATTTTGGGAAACTCCCAAATGAAAAGCAGGCTTGCCTCGACGACGATGCTTAGAGCCGGATCGAGGCGACGCTCGTGGTGGCTCCTCGTGGGTGCCTACTTTCTGTTGTGGCGTTTCCTGGTGCCTGCGGTTCCGACTTGTGGGTTGGGATCTGAAATCCGTTTTGTCCACGAGTGGGTAAACCTAGGATGTCTAGACATAGAGTGTGTATGAGGCTGGGGATGTGTTGGGCTTGCTCTCAATCCGTGGGCCTAGCATGTGCGTCTAATGTTTCTTCCACCCGCAGCCCGGGGAACAGCCAGAATGCCTAAACGCTAACCCAAGCGCTAGATCCCACAATCCCCAATCCCGTTCACCGTCTCCGAACCCTCAGCCCTTCCCTCCGTCACAGGAAAGAGAGCCGCCACCTTTCGAGGTCCCCAGCCGTATACAAAGAAGAAGCTGCCCCTTTACATTCTGAACTCTGACCGCCCCCTCCCAAAAAGTTACCTTCAACTAGACCCTCAGCCCTACACTTCTGATATAGGATGCTTCAGGGAGGGTGGTTCCGGGAGTGCTTGGGAATTGAGGATTACTAGGATATATAGCCCCTTGGAATGGGGATCCCATAATGAACCAGAAACCCTGATCAACCTGGAAATCACATTGCCCCACAAGCCGATGCCCAGAGTCTCCCAGATGATGCTTCTTTGTCCCTTTGCTGGCATGTTTCTCGCCGTCTAGATCCGTCTAGTTTGGCAGGGGGCTTGAGGTTTGGAGCAATCCCGGAATCGTCATCCCAAGGTTGGTGGAGCTCAGGCACAGTGTTTCAGGCGGGCTGTTCCAGGTAGGACTGGTTTCAACAATGACTCCAGTGACGACCTTGACAGGCGCCGAACCGCTGAATTGCACTTGAGTTGGTATCGAGAGAAATGGGAGTTTCAGAAAATTAGGGGTACCTTATTTTGGGGTCCTTATAATAGGGATCCCATTATTTAGGGTACAAAATTAGGGTCCCCTATTTCCGGAAACCCCCAAATAGCCTGCGGCTGCTTCTGCTCGATGGCATCATCCAACTGGAGCTGGGCCCGCACGGCCTCGGCAATGCCAGAAAAAACGGAGTCCTAAAAGCCAAAAGAGTGACAACCCAAATTCTTTTCCGAGATTCGCAACATGTTGAAGTCTTGTAGACCTGTCCCCCAGATGTTGGACAGGAGGTGAGAGACTTGTGCCATGTCTGGGGTACCATGCCATTGCTCCTGCATTTCTCAAGCCAGAAATATGCCTGCATGCTTAGGTTAGGTTTGATCAAGGGGCCAATCAAGGGGTTGTCATCAAAAGTATTGGTATGATTGATGCTGTTGGTCGTAGTGGTCATGCGGGTGGCGGGTGGCGGTGGGTGGCGGGAGTAGTGGCGTTAGTGGTGTTGTGCTGCTGCTTTTGCTGTTTGTTGCATGCACTGTGCAAATGGATATGTATGTGTGCATATGTGTGTATATATACATATACATATTATGTATATATATATATATATATATATATACGTACACTCACGCAAACACACACACACACAAATGTCACTTCATGTTGCGTGTGCATTCATGCAACATCTGTGTGTATGTATGCATGCACATATATAGTTATACATTCATATACACCTCAGTATAGTGGCTCGCTCTGAAGTAGTTTAGGTATGCATGCGTGTCTCGCGAGCAACTAATTGCACAGGTATATGTGTCTTTATGTATACACACAATCGACATACATACACACAGACATGACTAGCTGTGCTTTAACCTGCAATACGCTTCTATTCTTATGGGCAGAAAAGCCGAAGCCCTTGGCGGTCCTGCATTCAAACAAATGCAAGCCTAAGGAGGACCACGTACGATACACAAATTTTAACGAAAACATAAGCGATGATGTTAGCATCACACGACGGCTGTAGAAGGCCACTGCAAACAGCAACTTGGTCCGTGGTGCAACACACCGCCCGTTGTTTCGAAACCAGCCCGAAAAAGCTGCCGCGATCTCAAAGAGCAAGAGATCAGCTGTACATGCTAAGCAGCTGAGATTGTCACGAGTGCGTGTGTGTGCTCCGTGAACGACCACGAAAGCTCACACATCGAGTCAAGCTCAAGCTGCATAAAGCGCTTTCGCCTTGGCATAGAGTGCCTTGCCCTGAGCACTCTTGCCACCGATAGCGCAAAAGCCCTTCACACCAAGCTCCTTCCTGGCCGTCATGACGGCGTCCAGCCAACGCTCGGCAAACTTCTGGAACAGCGCTTTGCCACGGGCATGCTGCTTCTTTGTAACAACCTGCTGCAGCGTGCGCGAGCAGCTCTTAATTGCTGTCATGTAAATATGTCCTGCTTGATTGCTATGCAACAAGGAAAGTAAGAGAACAACGGAACTAGTGTCAGATAGAGAGAGCGGCAGCGAGAGAGGGAAAGAGAGACACAGGAAGAGAAACAGAAACATGGAGAAGGAGTGGGAGAGCAAAGGGGACAAATATCTTGGAGCTCCCCTTGCCTTGCCGCGCTTGTTCTTCATGAGATGCGCCTTCTGGAGGCCCGTCGCAGTCTTTTCCTCAAGAAACTAATTCAACAAAAAAGAGACACAACAGAGCCGAATGCGGAGATCCGACAATCCAACTCAATCCAAGTTAATTTAGCATTTTAGCCAATACCACCCCGGTCGGCCGCAGCTCCTTGCGACCCTTGAAGACGACCATCTTGGCCAGCTTGCCACGGGCGACATT